AGGTAGAATAAACTGGTTTAATCAAAAAAGGACTTGTATCGCTGAAGATCCATGGAAAGAATTTCTACCGGATACAAACAAGCTGATACGTAACAATAACACATATTCTTTTAGTCTGTTGACTTAAATTGTAAAAGCTGATCCCCTACATACATGTTTTGCCCCCCCCCTGAAAATATTTCTATGGGCACCCATGTTTGTTGGTCTGTAGTTTTGCGTAAAATGACGAGAGTCCAATGTTCAATAATCATCCTAGTAGTTAATAATGTTAATATTTACTGCCCCAAGACGGCCTAGAAAGCATATAGGCCATTTTGGTATAGATTCCCGATGGTGGCGGTGCCAAGGAAAGGGGCGTGGTTTAGCCAAACACAGTAAGAATTGATTAAAAATTCGAAGCAATTCAGTCAGGTCGAAGCGTGAGTACCCGAGTCTAGCGAGTCAAATGAACTGTTGGCTGCGACAGCCGCTAAAGGTGTCTGTAATACATGTTTTAACATTTTTTTTTGTAATTTATTAACGCATTTTCTTGTTGTATGCATCCGCGTATGAACTGTGTCAGGACGTTATAAGTAAATTTTAACGTTATTTGAGTTCAAGAAGTGCGTAATTAATTTGCAGAGTCAATGTGACACCTCGCTACATAATAAAAAAATCGCCAAACCGATATAGAACCTTGTAGAATATACAAGCATTGTTATTCCCCCCACCTCTTGTATACAGCACTTGTATTAATACTCAGGAACTTATGCCCGAGAAATGTACTGATGGCACTGATTTGACGCGAAATAGAGAGAGAGAATAAATTTTAATTTCACTAAAACAAATAGTAATGAAAACATTCTACAGCAAAAATAATTATATTTTCTTAGAGCTTCTTACTTTTTTCTTCCAAGGGTTTTGGCTTGGCATGGCCAAGTGGTTAGGGAGCTTGACTCGCAATCGGCAAGTTCGAATCCTCGTCCCACCAAACATGTTCTCCCTTTCAAGTCGTGGGGACATTATAATGTGACTGCTAATCATACTATTCATTGTTGAAAGGGTAGCCCAGAAGTTTCCTTCCACTTAATCTTAACAACAACCAAAAAAAAACAAAAAAACACCTTCGCCTGCCCCGCTCCTCCCACACCCTTTTGTTTGCGCCTCAGCTTCAAAATTGTGTAATCTTCACTGGCCCTCGATCTTTTTGATTTGGGTTGGCATAAGCTAAAAGTTTTTGTCTTTTCTATTCTGATCTCTATTTATACCTTCAAGTGAAGTTGGTTTTGCTTAAGTAATGCCGCTAGTAGAACAGAAACGCCTTCTAGGCAAAAGACTAGAGACGGCTTGAATGGGTAATGAAGAAAAACTTTAATATATAAGTTTTTCTTCATTACCCATTCAAGCCGTCTCCAGCCATTATTAGTCTCAAAGTGGGTTCCTTGTCATCGAATTTGATTTCTTAAATGTTTTCTTTCACCAAACATGGTTAGATTTTCCTAAAATTGTGAATGCGATACAAAAAAAGTAAAATTTACAAATGCACTGCTATATCCGTAAATGCCACGAGTCAATAGCACAAAATTAAAATAGTAAATATATACCAAAGTTTGTTTTTATGTTCACGAATCTCCGTCAGTATACTCGCCAGAACCTTTTAAATAGTAAATCTTCGATTACTTTTGACAAAACTAACAAGAATCATATTTAATACTTACTCTTTCGTGGCAATGCGCAACGCCATCTACCAAATTATGGAACCATTTGCACGCTTTATTCTCTTCAATGACATTTTCTTTTTGTATTCTTTCCAATAGATCTTCAACGGCTAATTCCATGACAATATAATATCTATTCATATAAAGTTTAAATATTCGTTTTATGAACTAAAAATAAAGCCACGATAAAAAAATCGTTTCTGGTGATAATTTTTTTTTTCTTTTCAAATAATGTTTTATTTGTTTGAATATTTACTAATCATTTGAGACATCTTTCTTTTAACACAGGTGAATAAGTTGGTCGAGGGGAACAAGAAAGGGAAAAATTAAATTGTTTTCAAAAAGTTAATAACATTGCATATAAAGAATTATTTAACTTACACGGATATTTCGGCAACTGTCACACCCAAAAATGCCCGGAATAATATTTTACTGGTTCATTTATATGCCTTGAACTTGAAAATCATTTTTCCTTCTATGGTGTTGAAATACTTTTTTTGATAAAACTTTGTACAAGATATACTGAATATGGGGGCATTATAACTTGATTGTAAATTCCACCATTCGTTGGTAAATAAGATGGCGGTTGGTGGTGTTTACCAGCTACCTTCCCTCTAGTCTCTGACTGCTAAATTAATTACGGCTAGCTCAAATACAGTAGGAAGGATTAAAAACATTTAAAAAATGTATGGTACTGAGAAAGACATACATTTCTCCAGATTTAATATATCACAAAGAACTTTCCACACCTGTAAAAAAATTGTGGTACAGATTGTTTTTTCAGGTAGTAAATATGTAATTTTGCCTGACTCTATACCAAAGTCACTTGCAATAAACGGAATACTATTTTATACTTTGTGCACAAGGAGTGAAAGAACCTATCAATGAAAAATATCGTAAGTTATCTAAAAAAATAATCTAAGTTTTTTACAGCGTTGCACAACTAAGCATAGAGCTCGTAGACGTACGTTTCAGTAACAACTTTATTGTAATGCGTAAGCCTCGTGTTAACATAAACGATGTGAATATAAGCTAAAATCACGAACTTTTGTGTGTGTATATGTCATATAGTAAGTACGTTTCGAAATATTTTATGTACTGTAGCGGCGTAGTGTATCCGATAAGTTTCCGTCTTTCGATGATGTCTGAAAGCGGGTTTAAAATATTCTACCCGTAGAATCAAAATCGACTTTTTATTGGAACCCCATTCGTGATATGTAACATCTGTACAAAAAATATAGGGTGGTAGGCCTAATTAATATTGTTAGGCACGTTACATTTATGATAGTTCTAACAAACATAGAATTGTAAAAATATATTCACCTTTCGTATTTTGCCTTCACTCCTTCTTATCATACCAAGTGTTGAAATATTACGTTTAAAAATATTATTCAGTTACCTCTGTATCCGTGCTTCTTTTTAAACGTATTTGTCTAACCGTCTACCCTTTTACAAGACAGTTTATTCCTTTGAAACTTACCTATTAACAGTTTCAATTGTTTCGAAAAAAGTAACAATGTTTTCATGCCGAATAAACCTAATTACATATATTTCTCTTGGCAGAAACTTCTCCAGAAAATCTTTGGGGGCTTTCCGTTTTGAGATAATTTTCATAGCTACCTGCAAATATCTTTGCGAGTGTGCCATTTTCACCACTGAATAAGAACCGTGTCCAAGTGTTCCTCCAACTTCGTAGCCTAAAGCTTCGAGAACGGTTCGTCTCTTTTCGCATTCTACTTTGTCGTTAGACATTTATAAATCTTATCTATAATATTTACGTTTAGATTGTAACACAGCCATTGTGTAGTTTACTGATTCATGAATGAAGACTACCTTAACAACTTACCAGTCACTGTTTATCAGGTAACGTCAACAATACGGTTTTAACGCCAAAAGCTGTGAAGTATGATAATGTAATACGATAAATATTTTTGATTAAAACCACAAAAACTGTATATATATATATTCTAAATGTAAACAACATAATCTACAATCTAGGTGATTTATGACACAAATATTAAACTATCAACGATCTTTTTCATCACTTTATATTATTGGTTTTCTACAGAAGTAATAGGACAAAGCGATACTTACTGCAACGATTGATGTTTAATTTATCTCTAGTGTAACTTAAATATGGTATTATTCTCAAGTTCACTGACTTCTGGTAGGTAAGAGCAGGCCTATTAATAACTAGAGGCTCCAGCAGTAAAATGACATACAGAAGTAAATTTTTACTTGACTGAGTTGCAGACAACAGACTAAGCACAAAGAAAAAAAAATTACAATAGCAAGTCAAAAATAATGAACAAATGCATTAAACATCGGACAGCGTTTCTCTAGAGAAATTCTGCTGCAAATTTATCTTCTGGACTGATAAAGTATTACATTATACACAGAAAAACAATAACACCATTTATCTCGGATCACATACGCTACTCGCGTTATTCGTTGTCAATGTTACAGTAGCAAAACGTTAACCTCTTTTGTAAACTAAAACTCGGCGATGTTACTGAAGTGTTTGAATTGAAATAGATCTCTGCTAACAACGTCCAGAGAGAAACATAAAAATACCGAAGTGTGGCGCTAGTGTTCCCGGTAAAATCGTTTCCCTGCACAGCAGTTAGGCGTTCGCAGTAAAATCGATTCCCTACGAAGTGGAGGCTTGGGGAACACTGGACAATAAAGTATAATGTCCTCTCCTATTTACAAATGTGGTCGTCAAGGGAAAAGACTTGACCCCGATAGTTTGACAAGTACATAAATAATGTTTATTTACATAAAAGTAATCACAGTAATACAAAGCAATGGCAAATATCTAATGGTGAGCATTAAACTGATAAGAGCAAGATGGGAATTTTAATTAAAAGGTTCTTATAAGCTCGGTATGTTCCACCCCCTGTAAGTTAAACCCTAAACTTGAAGTGAATCCCATAATGAAGATTAAAATAAAGCTATAACAAGTATTCGACGTGCACACTTTGACTTGCCTATGGCGAAAAGGTTAAATAAAACTAAAACCAAAGTTTAAATTACAGTTCAAACATTAAGTCAAACTACACGTTAAAACAGAATCCAAGTTTTTAGATTTTTCACTCTAAAGTTTAAAGAAACAATCCACTAAGTTAAAATTCAAGTGCAGAATATATTCAATATTCTATACTCGTGGTGGGCAGAGCGCAGGTATTTCACTGTGTAGCTTTAGGCTTAACCACGAGTATTTTTTTTTCAAAGAAAAGCTTTGACATTTAACAACCTATTAAATGAATTTCCGTCCCTAGCCTTCATCTCTTCATCTTGGCAAAAATACATGTAACATACAACTTTAACAATAGCTTCAATTTCCCCAAAAATACAAATAATAAAGAATTCCAAAATTTTAGTGTATTTTTTGTCGTTAATATTGTGTGGAATTAAAAGTGTATCTTTTTGTAGTTTTGACTATTTTATGAAAAAAAAGGGGTGATAAGGGCAAGAAGGAAAGGGTTCGAGCCCACCCTTTGCACGTCACTGTGTAAATGGTAATGATGGTTTTCTGCTTATTACTATACTGTCATATAGTGAGCGATAGCATGTAACTTTTCTGACTTACGCGTGCTAGGAGTTAATAGGAATAAAAAAATATATTTCAGCATTAAAATGAATGACACGCAGTGACTTGCGGGTAAAAAAATAATAATTGTGATGTGCTATTAAGTGTTAGCTGCAAAGTGTGCTACCAGCTCTTTTTCAGAAATGGGTATTGAACCTCGAATTTTAGCGTTAAAAACCCTCGAGCATTATGGTTGTAACAAAATGGCAGAACCCACAAATTAATCAAGATATGTTATCTCGCTTGTTATACTTTAAAAAAAAGAGAAAGAAACATCGTATTATTTTCAAATGGGCGATAATAAAAGGAGACAGAAGAAATTGATTTCTTTTTATTAACAAAATATTCATTTATCTAATACACATGATCTTACAATTTGAGGGTTAAAGCCTCAGAAAATGTAACAGTAAAGTACTTTTAAAAGTTGTCATGATTTCTACATCACTAACTTTTATTATCAAGACTTCAAATTACAATAATCTTGATGTGGTACATATAATGATAATGGAAGGCCAAAGAAAGACAGAAAACTATCATTACCTAAACCCCGAATGTTTATTCGAGGTCAACTTTTAATTAAGTTAGTTTATTCACATGTGAGCATCTTGACAAAAAAAAAATACTATTTCACCTACCATACCCATATCTTGATGTAAATAGAATAAATATGCAAGGAGGTCAACATTAAAACCTGAGACTCTACAGGCTGTCAAACGAATAGAGGTAAATGTATTTCTGTATTGAAAACCACAAAGAAATATCTTTATAATAGCTGTTTTCAGGTAAAAAATATATACAGTGAATAAGAGGGTAAGCAGATTACTTGTTGTGAAAGTCATGCAGGATTTAGTTCCTTTTAACTAGTAAATTTAAAGTTACATCAATCAGTCTTGAAGAGTGGTGGCAGGAACGAAAAGAATATATATAGATATATATAAAGAAAATGCCCCTAGAAACCAAATACAGAAAACTTGACCCATTATAGTAAGGTGTTTAAACGCCCAGCTTATATTCTATAATTGTTATATTATTCAATGAACTATATTATCTAAACTACTGTATAAAGATCTTAACTACACATATATTTAATATGTCAAATTAAGCTGTACATTCTATCCATTATAGTACAAGTTAATATCTTAGTTATTTTATATAAGTTACACAGCAACAAATAAATAAGATAATGATAACCAGAATACCATCACAGTCCAATGAATACCCAAGTTTTAGTATGAAAGAAAGACAAAAAACTTGTTTGTGGTTCTAGGTTATGTATGCATAATAATAACAGCCATTTTGATTATTTTTATTCTTATTAAAAAAATTTCCTAAAAAATGAGATATTGAACGTTCTTATATAGTGATCTATTTTTTTATTAATTAATATACAACAAGTTTTGATTCAATTTTTTATCTGGATTTAACTTTGCAGCATTCCAACAAACAAGGTATATAACATATTTACTTTATGGTTCTTATTTGATTTTGAAAGCTCTACCCAAAGAGACTTTCATAGGTTTGATATATATATATTTCTTCATTTGAAATGTTATTAAAAACTCCTTGTGTAAATAGCTTCTCTTAATTAACAATTCAAGATCGATACTGAAAAAGTTTTTTGAAGTCTAATTTTTTTCTTATGGCACTGAGTCTACTGAATTCAAACTAAAGACATCAAATAGGTTTTTAATGTTGAACGAAACAAGGTCAGATCAAACTCTTCCACAGAGAAGTAGTGTTGGCATGATATTTGTCCAGTATGCTAGCTTCTTGCCTGGTTAATACATCTGATCAACAGGCTGTATTATTGCCTTCTACAAACCTGAGAAGGCACTGCACAGAAAGGTTTCATTATTTCATTAGACCACTGCACCTATTCTATATTTGCATTGGTCTCTTTGAAATGGTACTTCCCCAACTTTTTTTTTGTTCACACCTTCTCTAAGCCATTTGTTACAGTGTCCAGAGAATACACACTAAAATGGTAGCTAAAACCAGATGACCGAGATGAATATCGGTGGATGAGCTAGACAATAGAACACATGGACACTGGTATGAGCCACAAACTTCACAGATATTCAATGAGTTCAGGTTGGATACATCATAGATTGTCTGGTTGTACAGTTCTGGAATGGAAAATCATAAAAGATGGAATTACAAAAGTATTCACCATCCTATGTGTGGTGAAATATTTTCTGGATAAAAAAAACACAGATACAAACTTATTTATGTGGTTTTTCAGTCCTTTTTTTACCCACCATACACTAACGTAAGTTAATTTAAGTACATAAATAATATAATGCATTAAGCCTAATTTATTATTCAATATTATGCACAAAATGAATTTCACCTGAGGGTCATAAAGGTTACTCTGAGTGACTACTTAATTAATGTGCTGTTCAAACAGAAAACTGTGGATTTTCAACATAGATTCCATTTTTTTTTTGTACAATATTCAAATGGAATAATAATATGGATGGAATTATCTTAGTGGTAACATATGCTAAAATAACTTTTTATACTCATTTTACATTTTTCTAAAGACAAGATTAATATATCCACCATTTTGTTTCTGTGAACCTGAAGATGATGACAAACTATATCTGTCCCTCCCTACCTGTCAATCCATTCGTAAGTACTTTATAAAATAATCTCTCTGAATATATACTTTAGAGATGTGTATGTAATATTTTCTTGCTATAAATTTTACTTTATATTTTGTGATTTTCAAGATAGATCTACAAGGGAACGAACTCTGCTCATCATGATGATAGGCAGTACTGAATGGTTAAGCCAACAATTATTTTCTTAGTATATAAAATGTTTAAACAACACGTGACATAAAAGCAGGGTTTATTTTAACGTGCAGTAGACCCATACTAGTGCAGTACTAAAATTTATAATAAAAACTCCAATGTCGTATAAAGAAACAAGAAGCCAATGCATGACCATGATACTGAAAAGCAAAAGTACCTTTATTTACTGTTTATATGACAAGAAGTATATTTTTAGTCTTACATATGTTGAATAGTACTTTAGTTTACATTTTGTGTCAAATACTACATGAGCTTACATGGTAAAGGTTGGTTAAAAGACTTAAAACACTCGTAAATGCAAAACTATGCTAAATTGTACTTTAATTTACATTTTATGTCAAACACTACGTGGTAAAAGATGGTTCATTGTACTTTAATTTACATTTTATGTCAAACACCACATGGTAAAGGATGGTTCATTGTATTTTAATTTACATTTTATGTCAAACACCACATGGTAAAGGATGGTTCATTGTATTTTAATTTACATTTTATGTCAA